CAGGCGGAGAGGCGGGGGGCGGCCCCTTCTTGAGGTGTGGGCTGGAAGATCGATTCTTTGTCGTCTTGCGATCCCTCAGGCAGGCACTTTAAAGGGGCCAGGGGTCGTCCCAGGGATGCAGCCCCGAGCTGCTGGAAGCCGTGCTAGCGTCTGTTGAGATGTCCATGGGCCAGCGTTGGGGCCAGTGGAGAAGGGCTCGAGGAGCCTGCTGAGCTGGGGGAAGAGGAGCATGGCTAGACGCAGTTAGGTTGACACGCACTGGCTGAACCTCAGGTGGGTGGGAAGGCGCGTAAGGTGCCTGCGGGTCCAGTTCCTTGCCCTGTCCTAGCGAGGTGGCAGGTTTGTTACTGTTCCGTGAGGGGCGCGTAGAAGTGTGTGTCCTTGGCGCAGAGGATGGGGTGTGGACTGGGGGCGTCTGGAAGGCTTGGGGGAGAAGGGCAAGGCGCAGCGGACGCGGACCCACAGGTAGGAGCGTAGCAGGTGAAGCGATGTGGGAAAGGCCGCTCCTGGAGGAGCTCGCTGAGCCGCCTCTGGCTCTGGCCCGCGGGTCGCGGGTCCCTGCTCACGCTCGGGGTCTCTGGCGTCCCCTCTGCTGCACCGCTTCCGCCTCCAGCTGGAGAACCCGGGCCTCCGCCTTCAGAGCTCACCCGGCCAGATGGAGCCCACCTGTATCTCCCTCTCCTCCGTCTGTAGCCTGAACCACATGTGCCAAGTCCCCTCTTTGCCATGTAACACGTGTATGTAGTCACAGGTTCTGGGCGTTAGGGTGTAGACACCTTTGGGCCGTGGTTCTGTGTACACGCAGCAATACAGAGTGGCTGGTAGGTGTGTACCTCCCCCCGCCCCCCAATACTGTGCCTCTGCGGCCCTAAGACTTCCAGGTGACCCCTCCTCCGGGAAGCCCTCCCCAGCCCTGTCCGGCTGGGCCAAGATAGGAGGTCTTCCAGCTTTTATCAACTTTCACATTTCACCTCTGCATCCTCAGATTGGCTTCACTGAGGAGAGGCCGGGCTGAACTTCTTTCTCTTCGTGAGTGTGGACCCTGAGAAAGCAGACACCTACTAAGAAGGGCTCCTTGTAGCTAACGGGGCTCAAATTAAAACACAAAAACAAACCAACAAAAACAGATCCTAGCAGCCATTTATAGGAGTGACTGTATTCTGACCAGTCACGACAGTGCCTTTTGGACCAATCATACTGTGGAGATTTGGGTCTTCATTTGTGTGGCAAGCCGGCACGGCCATGGCGTACTCAGCCCCGCGCCAGCTCAGCCAGGTTCGGTGAGCCTGAGGGGGCGGTGAAGGATGGAGAAAAGACAGACAAGAGAAGAAAGCTGGGTCTGGGTGGGACGCTGTCCTCTCTGATGGAGAGAGACAGTGCCACGGACTACAAGCCGTGTCTTTATTTTATAGCCAGATTCCATGAGGCAAAGTAAGGGCGTGGTCAAGATGTTTACAACATTCTCATGGGTTTCGATCCTACTCAACTACATGCACCTGAACTCTATCAAGCCCACATCACTCAGGCACGTGGGGCCACGTGTTTGGACCATAGGTTCAAGCTTACAACCACAGCTGTTGGCTATAATTGTGCTGGGAGGGCCCTGCCCTCCAAGCTGGGACCTGCACGTGGCAATGAGAGGCCTGTGCCCTCTCATCAGTCCAAGGCTTGAACCTGTCCAAACACTGTAGCCCCTCCCCACACATTTGCATGAGGAAAGACCAATCAGGGACCAGGGGCGGAACTTCTGTCCAGATAAACCAGCTCCCGGTGGTATTGAAGGCCACTTTCCCCGTCCACGGAAGACGCTTCTCCCTGCCTGAGCAGAAAGGAAAGCCAGCGCGGCGGGAGGCAGCAGGGAGTGGAGCAGAGCTGTCTCGCGGGCAGGGCCTGGCCCAGGGCTGCCTCACCGCTGTGCTGTGTCACTACTGGGCTGTCTTGCACTGACCGTTTTCCTCCGTTGTACCCCAAAATGGGGATTGCTGCGGTGGACTGGTGCCAAGGACCCCCCACCGTTGATTGCCATGCCGCTGGTGCTCCTGTCGACCTGGGGGGGTGAGGGCTGCTCCTGCTGGCACGGGTGGGCTCGAGGCCGCAGGGAGCAGGACAGGAGAGCCTGCCTGTCCTGGGCACCGTTGTCCGTGGGGTGGGAGCCTGGCAGACAAAGCCCAACACCCGGCTCGTTACTATTGCGAATGCAGCGTCTGTTAAGGCCGCTTTCATCTTCTCTATCGTTTCTTCCCCAGATGTCCTCAGGGGCACTGTCACATTTTTACCTTTGGAAGAAGATGACCAAGGCAGTTTGAAGGTTCAGATGAGCAACGTGTATCAGATTCAGCTCCGCCATGGCCGCGAAGAATGGTGAGAGCTAAATATTGGCTCCTCCTTCAGTGCTGCTCCAGGCCGCTGCGCGACCCGGGCCAGGGAAGAGCTAGCTGAGGGGCTCTCCCAGGGTTAGGGCTTGTGCGAATTGCCTTCTCCTGGCGTTTCCACACGCTTTTGTTCCAGCTGGTGCCTGGCCTGCGTGTGTGGTCACGGCCTGGTGGGAGTCTTGAGTCCCTACGTCCCATGTAGCACTTAGTTTTAGCAATGAGTTGAAGTAAACTCAGATCCCTTTGTTATTTTATTTCTCACAACTTGGTAATGGAGAGCGAGTATAAGTTTGTTTATTTCTTGCCAAGGCCTACGTGGTTTTAGATATAGTGGGTATTTAGTAAGCTTGTTAATGCTGTGCCAGGAGCTGGGCAGAGCGCGACAGCACAGGTGGGAGCCAGGACCTGGCCGTGTTCTGGTGCCGGAACACACCGTGGGCAGAGGGGCCTGGGAACTGCGCGGGCCTGCGAGTGTGCCCGTACACTGCGCTGAGCTTGCGGCTCTCGGGCCAGCAGATCCCTGCTGAGCCAGCGCACTCACGTGCGAGTTGCCGTGTGGGAGGTGTGAAGCGCAGCAGGGCCAGGCGCGTCCGTGGGCTGTGGAGCCTGTGGCCGGTGCTGCAGTCGCAGGGGGAGCGTGGTTCATGGCCCAGCCTCCGGCGGGCTGGTGGGGGTTCTGCGTTTAACAGTGTTGGCAAGAGAAGGGGAAGTCTTTGTGCTTCTTAAGTGTGTTTTTCTCTGTCCGATGAACGTTCTGTAGCGTGTTCCGGGTGGTTTTGTGTTTGGGTAAAATATTTGGTAACTTAGCTGTCTCCTCTCTCCTTTGTTAAACAGGTAACTTAAAAAGAACTGAAACCAGCTCTGCTTATTCGTGTTTCTCTTATTTTTAAAGGTTCATATCTGTTTTGATTTTCTGTCCAGAAAGATGGCAATCGGATGGGACTGTGTATCCCAAACCTGCCTGGCTTGGGCGCGAGCTGCCGGCCAGGCTGGCCCGGTGGTCTGTGGCGAGCGGGAGCAGTGGCTTCAAAAGCACCCTGTCCCTCCTCCCCATCCTCAAGTACAGCCACACCTACCAGGAGCTCAAAGACAAGTACAAGCACATGGTCCAGGTAATTCTGGGACATTGGCCACCTGCGCAGGTGGGACCGCTCCTGGGCGCGTTCCCGCTCCCCCAGGTGCAGACACTGTCAGGGCGCCCGCCTGACCTTGCGCAGCTGTGCCCTGACGTGCTTAGGGCTGCAGACCACAAAAACGGCCGCAGCTGTATCGTGGAAAGCAATGTATTTACTTTTTGGCACATGACTAAGTTTTCCCCCAAGAAAACAAACGGGAAATACTAGTATTTAATTTTAAATAATTGAACATTAAATTAATTACTAAATCACCATAATTCTCTGGTTTGAACTTAAAGATATTTTAAGAAAATATATGAAAGTTAAAGTACAAAAGTACATCCTTACAAAAAGGAGGTAACTTTTGTAACGTGTCCTTAACTTTCTCAGAAGTAGAAAGCAGGTAAGGACAAACACAGGTGTTCACGTGGAGCTTAAGTACAGCATCATTGGGGAGTTGAGCCTGCTTTTTACTCTTCCCCATTCACATCTCCCTCCCTCCTTGAAGTAGCTTCGACCTGTCATTTCCGTGTGTCTTGTGTTGTCAGCACCCGGCCCCGGGCTGGGCAGCACCCTTCCTGCTGAAACGTGTACAGGGTCTGGAGCCCAGCCACGGAGTCCTGGGTTGTCATGTTAACTGCGAGTAAGGCACCTTCTCGGGGGCTTTCATGCTCTTCCGGTTTTAGATGGTTCGTCCCAACCGTCCGGCCCACTCTGCTCTGACTGGAACAGAAATTGGGATGTTGAACATCAGCCATTGGCTTTTCATCTTCTGCCAGATGCCTGTTCTGGGCATTGTTGTTGTTTTTTGTTTTGTTGTGTTTTTTTAGAGACAGAGAGAGGAAGGGAGAGGGAGAGAGAGGTAGAAACATTGATGATGAAAGAGAATCATCAGTTGGCTGCCTCCTGCACCCCCCTACTGGGGATTGAGCTAGCAATCTAGGCATGTGCCCTGACCGGGAATCGAACCCGTGACCTCTCAGTGCATGGGTTGATGCTCCACCACTGAGCCACACTGGCCAGGCCGTTATGCGCATTGTTCATGTTAATAATGAGACCCCTCCTTGCACATCCAGGGGTCATCCTGTGGGGTCGTTGAGCTTTATTCCTGCTTTACGACAGGGAGGCGGGGACAGAACAGCTGGGAGGGACAGTCAGTCCCTGCAGACCGAGGGAGCACTGGTCCTGCCCCGGCTCCTTGGCTCCCCATCCACCTCGCTTCCTTGCTGCTCATCCTCATCTGGAGAAGGGCCAGGCTGCTAGCTGAGTGTCCTGAGGTGCCCAGGGCCTCCTCTAGTTATCTGGGTGCCTCGTCTTTACTTCGAAACCTGCCTGGGATGGCCTCGCTCTGGCGCGTCCTGTGCACAGACGGTTCTGGGTGTCTGTACACAGATGTCTCACTATCAGGGCCTGTGAATTTCTGCCTTGGGAACAAGTTTATGTTTTAAATGTTATTGCGTCATGAGTCCAGTGTGACTTATGCCTTGTGGCTGTACTAAGTGTTGAGACATGGTGGAGGCGGAGAATGACATGTGTCCTCGGGGACTTTTTCAGGTGTGGCCTGAAGTGACTGATCCTGAGAAGTTCGTGTATGAAGACGTGGCTATTGCTGCCTACCTGCTGGTAAGGACGCACCTGACCAAGCGGACGCGGCGTGGGGGAGGGGCCTGGCAGGGGCTGCCAGACCCCCGCGTAGGGTGCTCACCTCTGGGCAAGGCTGGTTGCACACGAAATGTTCACTTTTACTAGTAACTTGCCCGAGGGTCGCAGCGGGTGCGCTGGGCAGCCTGCCTGGGACTCAAGCTGAGCAGCGCTTCCATGGTAACAGGTGCTAGTGGAGCGCTGGGCGCCCGCTGAGGACGCGCCTTCCGCCCAGGCTCGGGTCCTGGCTGTGGGGCGTTCCTTACCGGCTTCTCCCCACCCACGTGTGGACGTGCCCTGCCTCGCTGCTCTTGGTTTCTTACCTGTAAAATGTTTAAACTAGGCATCTTCCGGTTTCATCTCAACCGTAATTCTTAGTCTCTTTAGAAATGGCATGGTTTTGTTTGATTATCGTTGTGCACGAAACTTGAAAGAACACAGAGAAAGCAGGAAGGAACTACTCTCAGGCTGCCCAGGGATGACCCCTTTAATGTGGACTTGCTGGCAGGAGGGAGCCCTGCAGCACCCAGC